TCTTTCCCTTCCTCTTCATGAATATGATCACACGTAAAGTTGCACAGCCAGCTCACGAAATTCTGTAGGTTATTATGAGATCCAATGAGTTGAGCACCCATATAGTCCATAATCGATCATAGGATTTTGGAATGCGATCTTATGATCTGATCCGATTCCAATTCCATGGAACCCTTGAGATTTTTATGACTATTATGGACTCTTCTCTTATTTCCAATCTCTCTTTTAAGATTAAAAAATATTAGTGTAATTTTTTCTCTCTTTTCGTAATTTTTTACATTTCAAAATTGGTAATTTAACATGAAATAATACTAGTGACACCAACGATTATTCTAAAATTTTTATCGGATTTAAAATGACGACATATGTAAAATCATTCGATTATCGAAAATGACAGTAACAATGATTTATCGTGTACTCTTTAAATGCAATTGAATGGAGGGAAAAACAAAACAGCGTGCTTTTTAATTTTTCCTCTTTTTAGGCTAAAAATTGGGCTGAGTTTCCTTTGATTTGCCTGCATGTTGTCTAGGATTGTACTCTGATTGATCACAGAAGTAATGAATGAAGCACAAGAAGCATGGAGCTGAAGAGAATTAGCAGATAAATTAGTGTCATTCTAATATATTCCTTAGGGACTCAAGCACCAGTCTCTTTACTTTTTGTTCAGTAATGTTCATTGGAGACTAAAGCAACCAGGAAAAAAAGAGCACCATGATTAAAGTCTCATTTGTAAGAAAAGCCTGCGGTTGCAGAGGAATAAAGGACCACTTTTGGACAAACCGAGACCACAGTTAAGTTAAAAAAGGGTATTTGAAAAAAAACAGAAGACCAACACGACAGAGAACGGGACAACATATTTGTTGCTAAAAAGCATCCTCAGTCCCCATCAAAGTTAGAACTTTTCTGTGTCGTGTCTAGTTCAAAGTTTCCTTTTCCAAAAGCTCATTTCCAGGTTTCAGACAAAGCTCACGCAAAAGGGCGTATCTGAAAAGTGCTTGGAACCTACACTAGAGGCCCACATTAAAAAAAAAAAAAAAAAACCCTCCATCCTTGAAGAACTCATAACAGTTAGAGCATGCAAAACAAATGGCAATGAGTCAGAATAAGATTCAATTTGATTAGGGAAAAAAAAACAGAGAAGAAGGTGATTCACTGAGATGTGAATACATTCAAGAATAACAACCACTTGTATTTATCATTAGAAAAATTCAAACTCCAAGTATAGACCTGATGATCTATCCGAGTCTGAAGCCGACTTGTTATTTGGAGGCACTGTTGACTTGAATGTGTGATTTAACAATGCTAGATCAATTGGTTTCGGAATCTCTGGAGGGTGAGTACTACGGATTAGAGCCCAATTAACACTTTCAAAGAAAGGATGCTGCTTAATTTCAGTAGCACCTCTCTTAAATCCTAATCGCTTTTGAGGGTCCTTTACAAGTAGACCCCGGATAAGATCCTTAGCAGCGAAACTAGCATTCGATCCTTCGGGGAATTTGAGGGACTGTCCCACAACGTTAAGTAGTGTCACTCGGTTTCCATTGCCTTTGAAGGGTGTCCTGCCATGAATCAACTCATACAGGAAAATGCCAAAGGTCCACCAATCAACGGCACTGCCATGGCCGTCCCCTCTTATGATCTCAGGAGCTAAATATTCATGAGTTCCGACGAAGGACATGGAACGCGCGTTCGTTGGCTCAGCAATAAGTACAGGGAGTGAATCCAAACTCGCCGAGCTTGTTTTTTCAATTTTCGCCTTGGCTGTTTTGGAGCTTAAAAATCGTGGCTTGAAACAAGAAGGTTGCAAGCAAGAAGGTTGCACGCAAACAGGCAATTTGAAGGCTGGATCAATGCATGACGGCTCAATGCAGTATGAGGAGATTCTACAAGCTGTCTCGGCATCATCGGACTGAACAAGAGTTGGACTGACGAAACATCTTAATGACAAATCAAAATCTGAAATCATTATATGGCCATCGTCCCTCACTAGCACATTTTCGGGTTTCAAGTCCCTGTACACCACTCCCATCATGTGGAGATACTCTAAAGCAACAAGAACTTCCGAAGCATAAAACCTGCAAGATCATACGAAACCATCAGAAATCAAATTTCCCTTAAATCTTCATACAACTAGTGACCACTATTTTATTAGTATGAAAGAAAGAAAAGCAACAATAAGCTGGTTGACAACTTTAAGAAATTTCTCTAATTTCTTGTTCCAAAAAAAAAAAAAAAACCCCCGCAAAACTATGATCATGGCAAGTAAAATTAGTGAATTTTGATTTTCAAATTACAATTACATTTCGTAACAACAAATACATTGTTGAGAAAAAGCCATTAAACATTGACGATATAACACTAAAAAACATAGTAAAAAGAGATCGACCAACCTAGCGGCTTGCTCAGTGAAGCGCTTCGCCGGTTGGCGTTGGCGAAGCGTGTGAAGATCCCCACCACTGCAAAACTCCATTAACAAGTAAGAGAACTTATCCGTCTCAAAATGCGAGTAAAGGGTCGGAAGAAACGGATGGTCCAACAAACCCAAAATGTCTTTCTCCGTCTGAGCTCTTGCCAACTTCTTCCTCCCGACAAGCATGCCTTTATCCATAACTTTGATCGCGAAAAGGCATCCCTTTGAGCCCCTCAACTCCGCCAAATAAACACTCCCAATGTCCCCACACCCAAGCTTCTTCAAAAGCCTGAAATCCACCAAACCCAACTCCCCATCTTTCCCACCCTTCACGCACTGAATCGCCTCCCATCGGATGTCGTTTCCCTTGTGGGGCTTCGACGGGAAAAAACACTTCCTGAAACTGCTGCTCTCGTTCTCGCTCTCTTCTACGCTGCAGAGGCTAATGCTGACGCTGGTGACGGATGAACTGTCGTGGGTTTCGCTGTTCTTGGGTGGTGCTGGTTTTTCGTCCTCCATTGCGGTAGTGCAGAGAAGGTGTTCGATGAAAGTCCTGATAGAAAAGAAAATTATTATTTTTTTTTGGATAAAAATGTGGTCAAGGTTGGGTTTGGGGTGTGACCGAGGCGGTCAAAGGAAGGCCGAGAGAGACGCGGGCGCGAAGATAGGATAGCTTCTGAGCCTGAACATGGTGAAAAACACAATTCAAATTTGAAATGGGTCTGGGTGAGACACCCAATGCCTTGCCCAGGTTGCGTTTAGAGTCCATTTCTCTCTCTCCTTAGCCCTCTGTCCTAGAAGATACAGCTTAGAGACAAAAACAAAAACGCAGAGAGAGAGAGAGAGATAGGAGAGAGAGAGAGAGAGAGAGAGGTGAGAGAGAGTTTCTGTTTACGAGGACAACAAAAGCGTTTCAGATTTTCTAAACAAACGTATTTTTTAAGTACATGCCACTACCACGGCTATAACCCCAAGCTAATACCGTTAGTCAGGTGAGGTTCAATTATATGGTGCAATCAAATGTATGGGGTTTTGGGCACGAGAGCGGCGAATCTTGACTGATGATTATTGGACCCTCAATGACGAATCTTGACCGTTGATAAATGGTGGAATCTTGAGATGATGTTGAGGAGATTAATGCAATTGGGCTGTCGTTTGTGTTATTTTATTAGATAGGGTGGTGTAGATTCTTTTTGGCATAATTTTTTTGTAGGATGTGAAAACTTAGTACAAAACAAAAATGTATGCAAAACAAAGAAAAATTTATACAGATTTAACGATCTATCGATTGAGTGGTTAGAATTCTCAATTTTTTCAAAACAATTTTACTCGTAAGATACGGTTTCAAGACCGATTCTGTTGAGTTATTATTATTATTATATTTTGTTAATTTGATATGAAATTTATGTGATTTAAGGTTTAGAATTAGGTTTACTCATAATTGGGTGTTTATATAGATTGGGCATTGTAGATTTTGCTAAGTGATTTACTGTAGTTTATAGGTTCCATTTGGATATTCTTGGAACCTAAGTAGACGTTTGGTTCGTAGATTAGAATAATAAGATTATAACTATTTTTTATTTACGTGTATTTTTTGTGAGAAAAAACACTGTAACAAATTATGAATCATGATTCAAATTATGGTATTAATTTTCTAACTAAACGTCCCCTAAATTTGGAGCAGGCAGAGTAAATAAGGCCCACGTTCAGGAAAATTATGATGGCACTTAATGCAAATTTTCTGAGAAAGGAAAACTTGAATATTGACCCTCTGCCTTTATCAGAAGTAACTCCTTTATTTCCTCCCTCCCTGCAATCAATTCATTACAAAGAAAGCAGGAAAAAAAAAATCATAGTAATTAGCATTATTATTTCACCGTTATTTGTTTTACTGATAAAATGTTCCAAACGGGACACCGCATACATATTTGATTTGATGGTTCAAATATGATCTTAGTTTAAATAGTATGTTCTTTTAAAAAATAAATAAAAATTATGTTAGAGTGGTTTCTCTCATAAAATTTAAATTTTAATTCTAACTAATTGGTTTGAACACTCAAACTAAATAAATAGTGCATTTTACCGAAATAAAAGTTTTTTAAATATCCACCGAGAAAAAAAAGACGTGTCAATTGAAATTTGAAGCAATGATATAGGGAACAATATATTGTAACTACTAGTTGACAATGGTGCAGAAATAGTCAGAAAATAAACGTTAATAGACGTTTCTAACTCTATTACTTTGGGATTATTTTCATAAATACCTTCGAAGTATGTACCTTATTTTAAAGTGTTTATAATTTTTCAAAATAGGTAAAAACATTCTCTGATATATAGAAAAACATTTAAAATGCCCCTCCATTCATCCATGTGTATCATTTGGATGAAAAATACATACGTAGCAGTTGAATAAGTTTTTAAAAGATAATTCAAGTATTTAACTAAGAAAAACATTCAAAATGCCTCTCCATTTGTATTTAGTTGGTGGATTCGTGTCATGATTCGGATCATGATTCGTGACTCGTTACAGTATTTTCTCTCAAAAAAACACACAAATTAAAAATAGTTCTAAATTATGATTCTAAATCGATCAACCAAACGTCCAAGTATTAAAAAATAATAAAGAATAGCAAAATAATAATATTGAAGAAAACAATGTTGGATATTTAAATTCTTGTTTCACATTCCAGGAATCATCACACCAAATTACTAAGAAAATAAGTTAGAACTCTGACCTGTTTCCATTGATGCAACCTTTAGATCTCTAGTAGGATTCTCTAAGACAACGAGCACGACGGTTATTGCCTTCCTCAGTCAAATCTCCTTAGTTCCTTAATGGGTGTTTTCTCTCTAGATGGGGAAGAATGAAAATTGCCTTATGATTTGACATATTGGGGACCATAACCTAAGTTTCTTTATATACTGCCCCATTAGGCTCCCATTAAACCTAATTGGGTCAATACTAGGTATCCACCCATTAAGCCCATACCCTGTTAGGAGACTAGTTGGGCTTTCCATAATTAGATCACTTAAATTAGCCTAAATAATTAAATAGCTTAATATAATTATTGAATAAATATGTGGCCCATAATATAGAAAACTCACGTTTCCTAACAATCTCCCACTTATGCTACATATGATTCCTGAAATAATTATATCATACATAATTCCTTAGGCGCGCAACTATATGCTATTTATCCTTAGTCTCCACTTAAGATACAATCTGGTCCATCTCTTATATTAGCATGAGATCATGGCGGCTTTTGTCACCCTCAAATGCAACTAAACCTTCCATGGTCACCATACCAACATATTCAATGACATAGATCGAGTATGGATGAGTGGCATGGAAATACATGCAATGTGATCTTCAACATGCCTATTTTCAACTGGTCATGTTTTATTCTTTATGAGATCAATCCGTAATTTTCAAAACATAATGCAAGATTGCAAACAGAAAATTAACACATTCAGAGGGAAAACTATAAAACTGTAATTCCATCTTCTTTATTCTGCAGAAAATAAACAAATAATGTTTATGTCATAGAACATCTAAAATTAAAATAAGCTCCCTCTAACCCATAGTATCCTCAAATAAAATAACACCCATATGAGCAATGTGCTCGTGAAAGGCCTTGGGTGTTAAGCCCTTGGTTAGCGGATCCGCAAGCATGGAGTTTGTCCCGATATGTTCTATCCAAATCTGACCACTCTGAACTCTTTCTTTAACAATAAGAAACTTAATGTCTATATGCTTCGACTTCGTAAAGCTTCTGTTGTTATTAGAATATAGCACTGTCGAATTATTGTCACAAAAAATCTTTAGTGGCCTCTCAATACCATCAACCACACGCAGCCCCGTGACAAAGTTTCGTAACCATATCCCATGATTAGATGCCTCATAATAGGCTATGAACTCTGTAGCCATGGTAGAAGAAGCTATGAGTGTCTGCTTGACACTCTTCCAAGAAATAGCTCCTCCTGCCAACATGTAAACATAGCCTGACGTGGATCGCTTACTGTCTTGGCATCCAGCAAAATCAGAATCAGAATACCCGATGATCTCTAGTCTGTCTGATCTCTGATAAGTGAGCATGTAATCCTTTGTTCTCTTTAAATAGCACATAACTTGTTTGGCTGCTTTCCAATGATCCACTCCTGGGTTACTTAAGTATCTGCCCAATACTCCCACTATAAATGCTATGTCGGGACAAGTGCAAACTTAAGCATACATTAGACTTCCTATTGCTGATACATAAGGAATCTTTTCCATTTCCTTTATCTCAAGTTCATTCTTGGGGCACTGACTGAGACTAAACTTGTCTCCCTTAGCTACGGGCGTATCTCCTGATGAACAATTCTTCATGCCAAATCTATCCAGAACCTTATCGATATAACTCTTTTGTGATAACCCAAGGATACCTTGAGAGCGATCTCGTAGTATCTGAATACCTAATACAAAAGAGGCGTCACCAAGATCTTTCATCTCAAAATTCTTAGTAAGAAATTTCTTGATTTCGTGCAATAAGCCTATATCGCTGGTGGCAAGTAATATGTCATCGACATACAAAATCAGGAAGATGAATTTACTCCCACTGAACTTGTGATGTACACAATCATCGAGCACATTCACCTCAAAATCATAGGAAGTGATAACTTGATGAAATTTGTGATACCATTGACGGGAAGCCTGTTTGAGACCATAGATGGACTTCTTTAACTTGCAGACCATAGACTTTGAATCTCCAGATACAAAGTTTTCTGGCTGGACTATATAAATTGTCTCATTAATGTCGTCATTGAGAAACGTTGTCTTAACATCCATCTGATGTAGCTCTAAGTCTAAATGAGCCACAAGTGACATAACTGTTCTAAAAGAGTCTTTCAAAGAAACCGGAGAGAAAGTCTCTTTGTAGTCTATGCCTTCCTTTTGAGTGAATCCTTTGGCGACTAGACGAGCCTTATATCTTTCGATGTTACCTTTCGAATCCCTTTTGGTTTTAAATATCCATTTACAACCTATGGGTTTCGTTCCTTTAGGCAACTCGACAAGATCCCAAACGTCATTGTCTTTCATGGATTTCATCTCATCCTTCATGGTATCAATCCACTTTTGAGCATTAGAACACTGTAAGGCTTGTTAAAAGTTGATAGGATCATCTTCCCCTAAGCCTACACCATCTTCATGTTCTTGGAGAAAGACGATATAATCATCCGAAATCGCACTTCTCCTTTCTCTAATGGATCGCCTTAATGTCACTTCCTGAGGTTGTTGAGTTTGCTCTATAGGTGCTGCATGGGGAACCTCATTGTTGTCTTGTTCCGGAGTTGCGTCTTGAACAATGGCGGGTATTACAGCCTGGTCATTGACAATAGCAATATTAGGAAGAGAAACGAAATCTTCTTCCTCAAAGACAACACTCCTTACTTTATCTTCTCCCCCAAACTCGACATCCTCAAGGAATCTCGCATTTCCCGTCTCAAATAAGGACCTAGTAATGGGATTGTAAAACTTGAAGCCCCGAGAGCATTCAGCGTATCCAACAAAATAGTAACTAACCGTTCTTGAGTCCAGTTTCTTTTCATTTGGCCTATAAGGCCTTGCCTCAGCTGGACAACCCCAAACATGTAAATGCCTAATGCTAGGTCTTTTTACTGTCCATAGTTTATAAGGGGTTTTGGTTACTGCTTTGCTTGGAACCCTGTTAAGGATGTAAACTGCAGTCTTTAATGCTTCTCCCCAAAGCGATTCAGGCAAAGAAGAATGATTAATCATGCTTCTCACCATGTCTTTAAGAGTTCTGTTTTGTCTCTCAGCAACACCATTCATGCTAGGTTTGCCTGGCATTGTGTATTGCGGGATGATTCCACATTCTTTTAGGAAGATAGCGAATGGTCCTGGACATTGTTTACCTGATCCATCATATCTACCGTAGTATTTG